GGAGAGCTGGCAGGCTAAGACCTCTCCTGAGGCTGCTCTGCCCTCTTCTCTCCAACTTATTCCCTGTCTCCCTCATCATATCATTTCTAAATGGATGACCTAGCTGAAGATTAGTCTTTGGTCCTTTAGTATTTAGATTCTGAGCTCTTAGGGAATCACAAATATTAAAAAATAATAATAATAAAAAGAATTACTTTTGTACATTGATGACATTTTAGAAGAACAGGTGAGTACATGTAGAAAGATCTTGATCTGCTTTCCCAAGTCAGATTTGGGCTGGAAGCCAGCTGTAAACCTGAAGAAATCAAAGTCTGTGTGCCAGCAGCTGCATCAACATGCAGAATCCTTACACGGGCAGAAAAACAGTTGCAATTCTTGACCACATGAAGTCTTGGGCAGAAAAGATTTTCATTCTGTTTTGTTTAGAACTAACTATTTTTCTGGTTATCTCCAAGAGTGTTGACAACTCTCTTTGAAAGAGAAGGTGAGATGTTATCAATTTTTTAGTATCAGCAAATACATTATGTCCACCTCTCACTGTAAATCCCTATGCTAGCTGTAAGGAATGCAGACAGGACATTTTTCCTGCTCTCAAGGGGCTTACTACATTCTACTGGGGAATGAAAAGGTGGGAAACATATGAAAGATTTATTTTTAAACAGTATATTAGTTACGTTTTCAAATAATATGCTCAACATATTTTTCTTCAACCTCTAAACATGATTTCAGGTGAAGTACTTAATTTAAAGCAATGACTATAATTGGTAATCTGGAAAAAAACAAAAACAATAAACACATTACTTTGCCTGTATGTCTGGACATTTTGGATGTACTGGAGTATATAAACAATTTATTCTGTATGTCCTGGCCTTTTGCTCCCCATTAGGTTGAGGAGATAGCATAGACCTCTGAAATTATATATAACAGCACAAGGTAACACTTACTACGTGGCACCAGCTAATTGCAGGTGCTATCACACCAAGAGGGTTGAGAATCCCAGAACAACACTGCAGCCAGCACTGCCTGGCCTCTATACACTGCTGGAACATGGTCTCGTCATGGCAGCTTACACATGCCCTCTAATGAGCCACATGTCATATTAGCCAGCAAGAACACTCTGAAACAGGTTCTAGCACACAGCCGTGGACCATCTGTAAATGGTCCTGTTGTGGACTGCTCCCCTCCCAGTAGGGCATGGGTGGTGGGAGCATGCCAAGGGCAGGTTCTGCACCTGAGGTGAGCAGAAGGGACATAGTAAAAAGATAACTACAAAGGAGGCCCCCAGATTGCATGGGCTCTCAGAACACCCAGCCTGAGAACACTCAGGAACCTGTCCAGGCCCAGACAAAAGCCTAAGAGATGAGTCTGGGGCAGCATGAAGAAGTTAGATGGGCCCTGGTGGCTTCTTTACAAAACACTGCCTCTCCTAACATGTTATCGTCAAGGCTGAGGGAGAAGATGATGGGTCTGTGGCATCCCATCCTACATTTAAGAGTCCAACTCCAAAGGCTTGTATCTAAGAAGGTGCCTACTACCACTCTCCAACAACTCGCAGGGCATCTAGTTTTTCATTCTTCATCTGCCATGCATCCTCCATGAGCATTGAAAAGAAACAATCCCTGACTGAAAAGAAATATGTGTTGTTTAGGAAGGGGTGTTCCTCAAAGATGTGACTTTACTCAGGAAGAATAGGGCATTCTGAGCCCTACCCTGATGATCCTGTTCAAAGATATTATCCTGGAAATCCACAGAGATCTGACCCCTTGGGGAAATGCCTGCGTTCTCCTGTAAATGAGACTATCCTTTGAAATGGCATGAGACCTCCTTTTAAGAACTGTGAAATTTTTGACAGACTACGCCGCACACTATATTTCTGTTCTTTATTTCCCAGGCAAAAACTTTCTTTTTAAAGCAACTTTATTCAGTATAATTTACATATACCCATTTTGAATGTACAGTTTGAGTTTTGAAAGATATGTACATGTGTGTAACCATCACCACAATCAAGCTATAGAACATTTCCATTACCTGCAAAAGTTCCTTTGTGCCACTTCCCAGTCACACTGTCACCCTCCCTCCCCAGCCACCCCAGGCCCCAACCCTCAGGCAACCACTGATCTATATTCTATCATTACAGATTAGGTTTGCATTGTCTAGAATGTTATATAAATGCAACCATATGGTTTTTAACCTTTTGAGTCTAGCTTCCTCCACTTAGCATAATGCTTTTGAGATTCGTTCATGTTGTTACATGTTTCAGAAGTTTGTTGTTTTTTATTGCTAAGTAGTATTCTGTTGTATGGATGTATCACAGTGTGTTTATCCATTCACCAGAGATGGACATTTGAGTTGTTTAGTTTGGGGCTATTATGAATGAAGCTACTATGAACATTTGTGTATGAACAAACAAAATTCTGGAATTCTAGGAAAGACCAGAACAGTCGGTCAGGTGATAAACAGGCTGCCCCTCTGGGAGGAGGAAGAGTCAAGTAGGTGATGAGCTGAGTAGAAGCAGCAATCAGTTTTGAAAAAACCAGCTGTAGCCATAAATGAAGAAATGCCTGTACTGGGCACAGAGAGGATTGCTGACCAGGCATCTTCACTGCATGGGAAAATCAGATTGCAACATCACTGGCAGGACAGAATAATACATACACTTAGTTCTTTTATTTTGACAGGGACTGGAATTGAGCCAATAGACTCAAACCTATTTTCCCCGGCTACTTCTTCAGGATATATTAGAAGGCCTGTCCAGGCCGTAGAAACAAAGAGCTCTACATCAGCTCGAGTCAGAAAGACTTTACGGGCTTTGGGGCATCAGAGGAGGATAAGGAATCTCTACAAATAGGCATAAAAAGACTACCTACCTTAAGGGCTGCTGGAAGGATAAAATGAGAATCTATGTAAATCACTTAGCAAGTATCTGGCACATAAGCATGGCTCAGTAAACATGAATTATGGTTTAAAAGTCATGTAATACTTCTGACTTATAGTAAAAGAATCCAAATGTTTCCTTAGGAAGTCAAAATATTTTAATGTATTTTTCCAAAATCACACTATGAATTCTTCCTGTATTATTTAGGTAACCAAGGAAGAGCTGGATTAATCAAAATCTAGTTAGATTTTAGAAGCCACAGAAGCTCTGGGTGGCTGCACTGGTAGTCCATCCCCTCAGCAGCAGCTGCTAGTTCTAAAGCTTCCAAGCAGGTGCTTCTCAGACCAGAAAAATCACCCCAGAAGTTTGTGAGCAAATCTGATTCATGAGCACTTCCTCAGGAGCTCTGCCTCTGGGGGTGTGTCACCTGAGGTCTATTCCTCTGGCCCACTCTGGCTCTCCCTGCTCGCTGAACGTTCAAGTCTCTACAAGGGGTCCCGTGGTGGAGTCAAAGAGCATGGGTTGGAAGGGGAGGACTTGGGTTTGAATCTTGACTTTATTGTCTCTACCCCCAACACACTTTGTTTCTGTCTCTTTATGGTCCGAGCTTCCTTTCCTTATCTCCACTGTGGGGTAACAGCATTACCTCACAAGGCTGTAGCAGGGTTACACGATGTCACAGTGCCAGGATGTCTCAACAAATGCTTGCTGACCCTGTTAATTCCATGCTTTGCCTTAATAGCCTTTTATATTTCCCACCAAAGTCCATTGGCTCCATGTAACTCAAATGAAATGGAGCTAAAAGAGTAATTCAGGAATCTCCCTGTAAATGGTCCCGAATGTTTACCTTCCAGGACAGGTGGGGCTCAAGCTAGCACCTGGGCTTTGAGTGTAAGAGAGAATTCTTAAGTTATCGTGGCCACACGAATGGGCCTGGTTTCAGTGGAGTCGTTTACCGGGAATACGCTGCCCTCCCCTGGGAGCCAAGGCTAGGCTCCCGGCCCTCCCTTTCCCAGGCCCGCCTCCCCGTCTTCCTGCCAGACCCATGCCCCTCGCCTACCCCGTCCCCGCAGAGGCAAACCCGGGCGCACCGCGGCACCCATTGGCAGGTTTGCTCGCACTGATTTGCTCTGGGCTCCCTCCTGGCTTCCGGCGCGGGCACCGGGTGTAGGCTGTTCTGCTCCAGGCGACTTACGAAGCTCAGGTTTTACCCCTTGCCAGGAGCCGCGCGGATCGTTCCCGAGGCTGGGCAGAGCCCCCCACCCCCACCCCGCGCTGCTTTCAGCCCGTGGGGAGGGTGTGCTAAGGCGGCCGCCCCTCCAGGTTGCTCTCCATACCCCCCATTCATCCTCTTCCCCACCCCGCCCTCCCCAATATTTACATTCCTGGGACTCCCCGAGAGGCAAAGCCTCCCCGGTGAGCTTGGAAGAGGCGGGATCGGCCGGGTGGGGACCGCGGGCGTTTGAATGCTCGCGCGCCTCTCCCATTGGAGGAGCGCCGCCCCGCCCCGCCCCGTCCCGCCCCGCCGCCGCTTTGCTAGGGGCGGGCCCAAGCGCTGCACCGCTCCAGGTTTTCCTGACGTTTCCATGTTGCTGGTATGAGTATGTTGAACCGGGTTCCTTCATGTTCTCGAGGAGAACGCTGCCATTACTGTTTTTCCTGGTCCTCCTTCCCTCCTACAGAAAGAAAGGGCTGTGTTTCAGAAAAAATTCTGTCTTAAGACAACTTTAGTGTGTTTACTTCTGCCCTGTAGTCACACGTGGCTGTTTTGAAATTGCATCTTTGTTGAGGAAGGAGGTCAAAAGCAAAAGCTAGAGAGAACTGGGATTGTGTATTTTGTATATGTGATTTTGGGGGCCTTTCTAATTTCCCTTTAAAAAGTAAGAACTATAGTTAAAGGATTTAAATGCTATTCTAAGTAGTGCCAACAAGTAGTGTTTGAGAAAAATTCAAAAGTAAACCAGAATTTATTTGGTCGGAATGAATGTAACAAAGACAACTTTTTCACTTTCAATTGGAAATTCTGGTCTATTATCATTTTGGCTTGTGGTTTGTAATATACTACGGGGGCGGGGGAGGAACGGATTCTCATCTTTTCTCTCCCTATTTCCCTTTTGTTTTTCAGTCCCGAGCACAACCACCAGAAGAAAACAGAAGGAAGCCAGTTTTGGGGAAACTTGGCACTCTCTTCACGGCAGGCAGGAGAAGGAGCAGCAGAAACGGGTTGGACAGTCCCACCAGCTCAAGTGCCAAATCAGTGTCTCCCAAAGATGCAACCTCTTCTGAACTCCCTGAAAGAGAGTGTGAGAAGAGTAGATCTCAGAGCAGCCAGCTAAAGCAAACCGACACGAGCCAGGAGGGCTCCCCCCAAGAGAAGCCGCAGGAGGCAGAGGGCGAGCACGCCGAGAACTGTGTCCAGGCAGCCCCTCCTGACGCCGAGCCGTCGTCACCTTGCTCGAGCGGCAGTGCAGCGGCTGTGCAGCAGTGCCATGATAGTCATTCAACCCAATTAGAACCTCTGGAGGCTGAGGGAGTGACTTTCCCAGATGCCACCACCACTGCCAAGCAGCTGCATTCCTCGCCAGGTAATTCCTCCAGGCAAGAGAACGCAGAGACGCCCGCCCACAGTCCAGGGGAGGACACTTCGCCAGGCGCTGGCCGCGAACAGGAGACAACCCGGGGTGTGAGGGCTGTGCCAGGGTCGCCCACCGGGGAGAGACCCTCGGGAGGACTAGGCGAGGTCCCTGACGGAACTCCCCGCGCATGTGCCCAAGAAGGCTCTCTGGGGCCCCTAGAGGCGCGCAGCCAGCCCCCCGAGGACGTGTCTGCCCCGCCAGGTGACTGTCCCGCTGAGGGCGCCGAGAACAGGGCCCGCTCGGGGCAGGCCAGCGGCACAGCCCGGCCGGGAGGGCGCGCCCATCCCTCCAAAGTGTTAACCTTGGACATCTACTTGAGCAAGACTGAGGGGGCGCAGGTGGACGAGCCGGTAGTGATCACCCCCGGGGCAGAAGATTGCGGCGATTGGGACGGCATGGAGAAGAGGTCGAGCGGTCGCAGGTCGGGGAGGAGGAGGAAGTCGCAGAAATCCACCGACTCCCCTGGCGCAGACGCCGCGATGCCGGAGAGCGCGGCGAAGGACGACATGGTGTTCAACTATGAGGTGGCGCCAAACGCTGCTACCGAGAACGTCTCGGCGGAAAAGAAAGTGAAATCTCCGCGCGCGGCCCCCGACGGGGGCGTTGCCTCCGCTGCGAGCCCGGAGGCCAAGCCCAGTCCGGGCCCTGGGCCCAAAGGGCAACTCCGAGGGGAATCGGAGCGGAGCAAACAGCCGCTCCCGGCCTCGTCCCCCACCAAGAGGAAGGGCAGGAGCCGCGCCCCCGAGGCCGTGCCCACGCCGCCCGCCAGCGGCCCGCGGGCTCCCCCCAAGGAGTCCCCACCCAAGCGGGCGCCCGCGCCAGACCCCGGTCCGGCTGCCAAGGGCGCGGCTCCCGAGAGCGGGGAGGAGGCGGCCCGGGTCATCCCCCGCGAGCTCACGGTCAAGAGCAGCTCGCTGCTGCCAGAGATCAAGCCCGAGCAAAAGAAGGGCCCGCTCCCCAATCACTTCGACGGCCGGGGAGAGGGAAGCCGAAGCAGGGAACTGGGCAGATCGGCCGGAGCTTCTGACGCCGACGGCTTGAAGCCCAGGAACCATTTCGGTGCGGGCAGGTCGACTGTGACCACTAAAGTGACCCTGTAAGTAGCTGCGGAATTGGTCGGGGCCGAGTTTGGTGGCCGCAGACCTGCGGGGGCGGGGGGCGCTCTGAGAGGCTCAGGGTCTGCGTTTGTTTAAGAAGCGTCTGTGCACTGAATTTCCTCCTCTGTGTGGAACTTAAGATAGCGAAGTGCCAATTTACCCAGTTAGCATTTAAGAAGGTGACACGTGTGGCAGCCTCATCGGTTAATTCCTATTTTAATGTAAAGACTTAAATTATTATATCCTCTAGGATATCCCTTGAGGCTCAGCGTTTACATCAATAGTGGAGATAAGACTTCATGGCTTGACACGAGCTAATTCTATTATTTATTCAAAGTGTACACGGACATTCCAGGGTAGGATGTTCTTAAAACACATAAGCCGTGAATTTGAAAATACTAATACGTTCAATATGACTCAGTAGCTTTTAACATATGAGTCTGAGAGAATCACAGAACTTTTTATGGAACTTAGTGCATTATTGGACTAAAGCTTAAAAGAAGTTCCTAATACAAGTATCTTGGTTACTTTTTCCCTTTATAACTGGAAGCCGGGTGATATTTTTGCCCCCAGGTCGAAAAGTAGTCTTCAGTTATTGAAATGAGGAAAGATCAGCGTTCCTACTGGAAGATTATTTGCTAAATGAAAGGACGCAGAACAATAGACTGTGGCTACTTGCTGTTAAGTTTACTGATTTTTTACAAGTACCTTCTGTGCATGGCTCGGTACTATGGGGGGGGAAACCCACAACTATGATTCAGCACATTGCCCTTGAAAAGTTTATGGTCCCTTCGGGCACACAAGAAGCACACAAATCAAATAGCAATGTGAGGTGATATAGGATTAAACTGCCAAATGGATGTTACCATCTGTAAAGGCTGGGAAGTGCAAGGGAGGGAGAATCCACTATTGGTTTTTCAGAGGAGCTGGGATTTGTGCCTTGGTGATAAACGTGATTTGTATAGGTGGACAGGATAGGGAGGGTAGGGAGCTCCATAAAACTGTTAGGATCCTCCCTTGCAACACTCCTGCTGCCCCCCCCCAACCCCAGTTAGCACTTGTGAAAAATGATTAAGTGCCTAAGTTTTTCCTACATTAACACATTTATTAAAAGAGCTGGCATTTCACAACATTATCATTCTTGAACTGAATAGATTCATTCTGTCTGATTTCTTGGATTAATAAGCTTTAGGATAGGAGGTCTGTTTGGTAAATGCTTGAGAGGAAATTGTGCTTAATGAATAACTTGAGCTACCTCACCAGCTGCCAACCTGGAGACCTTTGATATAGTCAACTATTTATTCTGTAACGGTAGTGTCAGAGAAATAACCTGGGTGAATGATGCCCATTATTTGTAGAAGGCCAGTGTGACAAAACACCGAAACCTCCTAAGTGTGAGTCTTAGAGAAGTGTCGCTGTGTACCTGATTAAGTACGCTTCACCTGTCTCCCATTCAGAAGACACCAGTAGAAAAACCAGAAATGTTACACTGTTAGGGAGCAGGATAAACAAATACAGGGAAGAGAATCTTAAAATGAAACTCTCCTTTATGAGCTGTTTCTTGTAATAGAACTAAACCAAATGTCTTTTTCTTAGTACTGATTTTTTCTACTCAAAAATTTTCTTTATGACTTAATTTAATTTTGTTTTGTACAGTGTCTCGCACATGGTGAATTGCAAACTACTAAAATGGAAAATTAACAATTCTTTCTAGTCCTTTGACCCTTTTCTGTTTACTGATGGGTTTGTTCAGTCCCTTTAATTCTTCCTATGACTGTATTGCAAGTAAAGATTTTATCAGATTATTTTTAAAAACAATTTGAGACTGAAGAGTTAGAAAATTATTGTATATTCTCTGAAAAATAATGACTATGAAGCAGCATGTTTCTTGATGCAACCATTAGAATAATTATTTCTTCAAGTTGTATACTAAGTGTCGAATGTTGAAATTCTTAAAATGGCATGTTTAGAATAAGAATTTTCCTCTTGAAACTATGGCTTTTTAGACTCCAGATTATTTTTCCCTCTCACATTATAATGAAGGCATTACAACATGAATTATAGGAGGCTTCCTTTTAATTAGTCTGAACTAGGTTAATTGTAGTGACTCTTGGTAGCAGAATTTAATAACACAGAAAGTATGGTTGTAAAATGTATTTTGATCTTGGTGTAAATCTTTAATGTGCAGATGTGTGTTTCCTGTCCTTAAAGTAGCTTGTTGGCTAACCTGTAAAGTTTTCCATTTACATCCTAAAATACACTTTTACATTTGACTTGAGTGCTGTTCCTAGAGCTGATTAGTGAGAATTTTTAAAATGTATATTCCCTGGTATGTGATCATCCCTCATTAACTGTTAGCTTTTAAAAATTGACATCATCTTGCTGGTTTTAGAATTTAATCTTTAAGGAAATACTTATAAGTTAATTTTGCTTTTAAATTTAAGATATGGACCTATAATAAGAGAGCCAAGATATCTTAGGGAGATTTCGGGGAAAGCAAAGCCTGGGAGAAATTTATGAGCATGTATCAAATTTAGTATTTAAATGAAGTTTAAAAAAATGAAAATCTAAATTCTTAGTGCTGCATCTGAGGAGGACTTGATGGTATCTAGCCCAGTCTTTTCATTTTATCCAGAAGGATAAAGTGTCTCACCCAAAGTCATACTTCCTGTCCCTTCTAGAGGCTGCTCAGGCCCAACTTTCTTGAAGGCCAAGTTCATGCAGTAGGCAGCATGGAATTTCAGTGCTTCTCCACTTTTCTGTTCTCATTGTCAAGGTGGCCTCTAAAGTCTGATTAGTTTATCTTATAGCTCTTATGGTAATTCAGTGACTCCTTAAATGATAAAGATGGAAAGAACCAGGGGAGTTCATTCAGGTGAGTCTAGTCTGATCCTTTTTGGAGAAGCTGAATAGTATAGTGGTCAGGAGCATGGCATGTGAAACCAGAGCACTTGGCTTCAAATCGTAGTTCTGTCAGTTACTAGCTGTGTGACCTCAGGCAATTTATTTACCTTCTCTAAGCCTCAACTTCCTCATCTTAAAATAGAGTGTACGAAGTTGTACATCAGGTAAGCCATATTTCTCAAGTGCTTGGCAATCAGTGACTGTTAGTGGTTATTATTTATCTCTTATTTTGTAAGCCACTAGTTCAATGGTTTGGACTTTCTTTCTTTCTTTTCTTTTCTCTCTCTCTCTCTCTCTCTCTCTCTCTCTCCCTCCCTCCCTCCCTTTCTGTTTGTTTTAAAGCTTTGGAACCCTTTCTTCTAGGAAAGCTTATATAGAAGTGATACATGAGGCAGATAAGTGGGAATGATTCTGGTTGAAAGGAGGGTGGACAGCCCCATCTCTCCATCCCAACTGTCCCCAACTGCAGCCCTTGAAGAAAACTCAAAAGAGTCCTTGAAACATAAATTGAGGGGAAATAAAAACAACCCTGTTCTAAACCATCTGTTTTTGTTTTGTTTTGTTTTCACAGAGAAGGTAGAGTCCAGAGAGGTAAAGTAACCTAACCAAATTCACACAGATAATTAGTGTGAGAACCAGGACCAGAGGCAGCAAATGCCAAACAGAGCATATTTTGTTTCTCTGAAAGAAAGCACTGTGTACATTCAAAGACTTATTATTTCCATTATGGGGTAATATACCCAAGAAATGTGACAGAGGGGAGTCTCTCTTTGCCCAAGAAGTGGGTAGTGACAAAACCAACAATTGAGTAATCAGTAAATGAATTATGGTACATTGATAAAATGGACTTTTATACAGACATTAAGAAAACTTTTCAAACAAACTTTTTAGTAACCTGAAAAATGTTAACTGTAAGGTTAAGTATTCCCTTCCTTCCTTCCTTTTTTTAAAAGGCAAGATACCAAACTTTGTCTCAATTCTATTAAAAATATTTAACTATGCATATAAGAAGGCTGGAAATGTACTAAAATGTTAACAGGGATATTCTCTGAGTGGTAGGATTATAGGTGATTTTAAAAATATTTTCCAGATTTTCTCTGGCGAACACACTCATATAATCAGAGTGGGAAAAGGATGGAAAAATAAAATATCTAAAGAGATCAATAATAGATGAATGTTTTTTATAACCTAGGCTTTTGAGATAATTTTTTTAAGGTTATGATAAAAATACATACAGTAATTGGTATTTGGGGAAAACATTCACATATTTACAGTGTGGGAATGCACTAAGTAATTAAATTTGGTCTAATATTCTTCAGACCTTAGGATGTCTTCCAACTCCAGTGCTGAGTACTGTGCATACATAGTAGGTAGTTGACAATCTTGTTAAACCCTTATCCCTAGAGTTTTCTAGCTATATAATCTTCTCATCTCTCATATACAAGCAAAACATCCACTAAAAATAGTTGATAGTGTACTTAGGATTGTTTAAAAATAGTTTTATTTAAAAACAAATGTTATATACCAGGAGGATGTTGGCTTTTCATAGTTTTGTAATAAGTTGATTTGTGTGTTCACTTTTTAAAAGTAGGTCAATAACTTTATCTTACTGCTTTCTTTCTTTTTTTTTTTTTTTTTGGCAGCCCTGCCAAGCCTAAACACGTGGAACTAAATCTTAAAACCCCTAAGAATCTTGACAGTTTGGGAAATGAGCATAATTCATTTAGCCAGCCAGTTCATAAAGGAAATACTGCCACCAAAATCTCCTTATTTGAAAACAAACGGGCAAACAGTAGCTCAAGACACGCTGACATTCGAGGCACAAGGAACACTCCTGCCTCTAATAAAACATTTGTTGGAAGGGCGAAGCTGAATTTAGCCAAAAAAGCCAAGGAAATGGAGCAACCCGAAAAGAAAGTAATGGCTAACAGTCACCAGAATGGTGTGCTGGTGGAGGAAACCTCTGCTGAAACCCAAGTGTCTCTCCCTGAAGAGATTCTACCAGCAACCAGAGGAATGGAAGGAGAGCCTGCCAAGAATCAAACTCTGGGTCCTCAGCTTAACCAAGGAGATAAAGCAGATATGCAGGCAGATGCTGGCTGCCCTTCAGAACAAGTGGCTACTGCTCTGATTCCTGTCAAGGACCATAAGCTCTTAGGAGAAGATGACTCAAAGACTGCTGACAGCAAAAGACTTGTACTTGAAAATACGACTGATACAGCACAAGACATCTCCACTGTTGTTGATACCAAAGATTTACCTCCAACAGCCATACCAAAGCCACAGGATAAATTTTCTGACTCACAGCCCCCAGCTGAGTCATCCAGTGGGCCTTCTCTTTCACTGCCTGCACCCATTCCTGAGGATGTTCCCAAAGAAGCATGTGTTCAGGCTCCCATCAGTTTTCCATGCACTGATCTAAAAGTGTCAGAACACCATAATGGATATATTTTGCCTGTGTCTCATCAGAATAATGAGAAAATGCCACTCTGCAAACTTGGAGGAGCAGAAGCGAACCCTCCTTTGTCCACAGAGCACAGCTCAGAAGCTGTGGGAAATGAGTGTCCATCCAAGGTCCTTGTCCAGGTCAGGTCCTTCGTGCTCCCCATGGAGAATACCCAGGATGTTAGTTCCCAGATCATCTCAGATAGCTCTGAAGTTAGAGAAGTGCAGTTGCCAAGTTGTCACAATGATGAACTTGAAGTGGTTTCCGTTGCAAGTTGTGCTCCCCGGCAAGAGGAAGTGCTGGGCAATGAGAGCACATCACCCAAGCAAACTCATTTCAAAGAGGAACATGTGGCAGAATCTGGCCCACAGGTCATGCCGCCAGAATCAGAGAGAGCGCTGCCTATCCAGGCTCAAAGTCAGGACAACCGAACACACCCAACAGCTGAATCCAGCCCCTCCAACTCTCCCAGCAGCAGAAATCGTTTAGAAACTCCTCAAAGGCCCGATCAAAGTGTTGTGAATGGCCAGGATACTCCTGCTAGTCTTTTGAACATCTCTGCTGGTAGTGATGATAGTGTATTTGACTCTTCTTCTGATATGGAAAAATTCACTGAAACTATAAAAAAGATGGACAGCACAATTTGTGTGCCCCAGAAGAAAAAGAAGGCCAGGGTGCCAAACTCTCCTGCCCCTCACTTTGCCATGCCTCCTATTCACGAAGACAATTTAGAAAAGGTGTTTGATCCCAGCGTGTTTACCTTTGGTTTGGGGAAGAAGAAGGAAAACCAGCCAGAAATGTCACCAGTTTTACATTTAATGCAGAACCTTGACACAAAATCCAGACTGAGACCCAAACGTGCATCCACTGAGCACAGTGTCCTCTTCAAGTCCCTGCACACTAACATGAATGGGAAAGATGAACCTGTGGTGACTCCAGAAATAAATGACAAAGAGAACAGGGACGTTACAGATGGTGGAGTTAAGAGATCGAGGCTAGAAAAAAGTGCACTTTTCTCAAGTATCTTATCTTCTTTACCACAAGACAAAATCTTTTCTCCTTCTGTGACATCAATCAATACTATGACCACATCTTTTAGCATTTCTCAAAACGGTTCTCTATCTCGGTCTTCAGTGTTACAGCCCATGACTGAGGGTGCCCCGCCCTGTGATTCAGACAAAGAACAGCCAAACCTTCCACCCGACAACTCCTTAAAGGTCTTCAATTTCAGCTCGTCAAATACATCTAATTCGGGTTTGAAAAGTCCCAGCCACATGGAAAAACACCTGCAAAAAGAGGAAACCAAAGAAGATCTGGATTCACAAAGCAACCTACATTTGCCAGAAACTAAATTCTCTGAATTTTCAAAACCGAAGAACAGTGATGATATGGAAAAGACTAATCATATTGAAAGTGTTCTTAAATCAAACTTGCCAAACTATGGAAACAGTGACACCGACTTCATGGGTCTTTTCAAATCAAGCCGCTATGAGCCAAGCATTTCTTTTTCTGGAATGTCATTATCAGATACAATGGTAAGTAGCAACATATTATCATTTATTTGGGGGTATTTATAAAGTAAGGGGAGAGAGAGACAATGAGCAATTCATGTTATCCTTTTAGAAATGCTTATACTTTTGTACTATAGTTTTCTATTCATTCATCACATATTTGAAAACCTACCATGTACAAGAGACTTTTAGGTCCAAGAAAAAAAGGTACTAAGATCCTTCTCTCAAAGCGTTCGTAGCCTAGCAGGGAGAATAAACTACAAATATCTTAAGGCACATGTGAATTTACACGTCGTATTATGAAAGGTATAGATAAGGTGTTTTGAGAGTTCAGAGACAGACAAGATGCTTTTTCTTAGCTATTCTGTGTAAAAATGCTCAGTACTTTATTTAGAATTTTGGAGAGTTGAGAAGCAGCTACCTCTATTTGGAAAGCCCCCAGCCAAGGAAACCTTTTCCTCATCCCTTCTTTCACGCTGTGAGATTTGCTCTTTCTTCCCATGAGTAGCAATATGTGTTTAATCCCATGCAGTTGAGAAAGTATTTTCTCTTTACTGGGAATTAGTTTCATCAGGGAATTTTTTCCTGCAAAGTTGTGGTGAGTAAAGAATTTTGGCTTACACTTGATCTTTCCTTTAATATTATAGAGAGGACAGCAAAATGTGAAGGTACTTCGAAAAGTTCATAGCAAAATAGAATTAAAAGGTAATATGAATCCATGAACTTTCTGAAGTACCCTCAAATGATTTTTGAAGAACAATTATGAGTTCTCTATCTTTTATCTGAATGCCGGAAGTTATTTTCTTTATTCAGTTTTTGATGTGGATTTGTGCCTTTTTCTTACCAAGCTCGATACTCAAGTTGAGGGAGGAGAGTGAAAGAGGAAGGCAGAATATGAGGTTTAGAGATCACTCTGCTAGTCTGGAGACATGAGTGGAGCTTGTATTACAGCAGCCAATCCTGTAACCCAGGCTCTCTGGCAGGTGCAGACCATGATTCAACAGTGTTTATCCAGGCAGAAAATACCTTGTACCTTTCCTCATCTGTGCAAGGCACCGCAGCATGTTTCAGTGTGTTGTATTGGCTTTTGCTACAATCCTATCACAGGATGTGATTTTGCAAGCTCTTTCAAAATGTATTGTTGTGTTTCCAGCAGAGGTGCAGATCCCCTTTTTCATGTGGTTTCATAAACCAGTGGGTTTCAAATTTGTTGGTCTTGGATCCTTTTACATTTTAAAATTATTAAGAACCCCAAAGAGCTTTTGTTTATAAGGGTTATGCCCATCAGAATTTACAATATTAGAAATTAACACTGAGAAAATTTTTTTTTTTCCTTTTTGTCTTTTTTTTTTCGTGTCCGGCAACGGATCGCAACCCTCAGTGTCGCGCCCGTACCGGACCGGGACCGGCAACGGGATCGCAACCCTCGGTGCTGCGCCCGCCCCTCGCTCAGCCAGTGAGCGGGAACCGGTCTGTATGTGGGATCCGAACCCTCCGCGGGAGCGCCGCCACGCTCCCAAGCAGCGCACTGTAGCAGTGCGCCACCGGGCCGGCCCAACACTGAGAAAATTTTAAAACACCAGAACACACAAGCTTACATTCCATTAGCCATCAGCAATGATGTGATCACACGCCATGAGCCTTGCACTCTACTGTACACTTGAGAGAGTGAGAGAGAAAAGGCATCTCACCTCTTGTTATTATGAAAGGAGTTTTGATCTCACGGACTCCCTGAAAGGATCTGGGGGACCCCCCCAGAGCCTCTGGGCCACACTTGAGAACCACTGCTGTAAACAACTAAGACAAAAATCAACATACAGCACTCAGAAATTGTAATATTCTTAACGATTTCTCTCAAGCACAAAACTTCCACTAGACAACTTCCCATTCATTATGACTTTGTTCTTTTTGATTTTTCTTAGATCACTTCTCTTATTTGGCTACAGTCTGATGAGTCTAACAACAGAAGATACAGTTTCCCTGTGAAAACCAAGTCAAATGTAGTAAAAAGGAGAAACATATTTTTAGAAACAATATATCTTTATATTTTTTCTAGGCCTTTTTATGGATTTAAAAAAAATTTTTGTCTTTCTTTAGGTCCTGGACTTTGTTGATTATATAACTATTGTATCTTTAATGTTTTACCCAAGTTTTGTTTTAAATTTCAGGGTTTTTCTTCAGTTTATCTACTTCTAATGTATATATATAAATAAATAAGTACATCCCATTTTAATTTATCACAATGTTTTATGGGCCTTCCTATGGTCTTCGGGGCATATTCTACTCTGGTATGATGCAAGAGCAATCAGATCAAAGGAAGGCCTTAGAATAGGCATCCTGGTCAGCATTGAAAGTAGTCCATGTTTTGTAATATCTTTACATGTATGATTGCTATTTTTATTATCTGATGGATTTGTGGTTTTACTGGTCTTGTCAGATGGTCTTGCAAATGATTGGTTTGGGAGCCATATGGAAACACATTCTGTCCATCAAAAAAGGGGAATTAAATATGCCATGTGAAGTGTACATTGTGAGATGTACCATAAACACTTTTATTTAGACTAGTAGTTATATGATGGTAGATGTTACTCAAAAAAAAAAAAAATTCTGATAGGGTATGTATATGAACACACAAAATTGACTCAGCTCTTTTTAGATAAATGATTAATATGTTCTACTTTCTCTTTATTTATTTGAGATTATACTGAGATTATTTGATTTATGATATCTTAGATGGGTTCTTATTCTGTGAACTGATGTAAAACATAGATCTGACTTTTGGACCCTGAATTTTCTAGCATTGGTGGAAATATCCTAGACATTTCAATGAGGAGAAATTGAAATAGCAAATTCAGTTAGAGGAAAAAGAGCTCTTCATTTAATAGAATTCAAATTCAAAGAGAGTTTTAATGTAACTCTGGCATAGATCAGGGTGGACTTGTTTCAAGACTTACAAATTGTGATTTTACTGAAAGGCATGGGTGGAGAAAAGAGGACTGTTATGTAAAGTTGTAATTATTTGTTATGTTTTTGTTCATCTGATTACAGACGCTTAGAGGAAGTGTTCACAATAAACTCAATCCCCGGCCTGGAAAGGTAGGAGGATTTTCTTTTTCTAGCCTAGATTTTATTTTGGCCTGATAGAGTACAACAAAGTGTGCCACCACTTTCATTTTCATGTAGGTAGTGATATATCGAGAACCCGATGTCTCTGAGGAGTGCATTGAAGTTTTCGGTGACATCCAGGATTGCAGTGCTTGGACCCTGTCTCCAGTGATACTCCTGAGAATTGTCAGAGGATGGTAAGAATGGCATTCTACGTTTCTCACTTACAGCATTTGTGCTTTGCATCCTTAATTACCTTTCTACTTATTTCTACCTCCTCGCTACTTATTTAAAATTATGCCTTTAGCAATGTAAAGTGCAGAAAATACTACTCATAGTTAAGATAAGGAATTCATATCCAAGAAATTTGGTTTTAATCATGTTTCTGATTATGAGAATGATACATGTTTGTGTCAGAAAAATCAGAAAGTGCAAAACAAACTTCTTTTTCCTATATATACGCACATAACAATGCTCTGGGCTAATCATACATAAGAGTCTGTAATATTCTGAGTCTTAAATGAGGTTGATAAGAATTGCACTAGTCATGTTGATGGGCCAGATGTGACTATTTAAAAATCTGTAAGGAAAGACATTTTTGCTAACTTTTTTATGATAGTTCAGTGAAGGACTAACCTAAAATTTAATTTACTTTATAATTTTTCAGCAAAAGATAGTTTCAAGAAAAGAAACAGGTGAAAGCATAAATACTTTGACAGTTTCTAAAATTGTTTTACCAGCTTAATTTCCTCTTGGAAATATAAGGAAAGTTGAATAAAGAAAAGCAACTCTTAAAAAGAATCACTGATCTGGCATAAATACTTATCTTTGGTACGTGTTTATTAAATTGTTTGAAATAAAGAGGGTAAGCTCTAGATATTGACTGTTTAAAAAATAAGTAAGGTTTTCTTTTGCTCTCCATTTAAATATGCAGCATCTTTCCTATTAGATTTCTATATATTTAATATGTTTTTCTATATAGTCAACATATTTGTTAGAAAAATAGAATTTGCTTTTATTCTTAAATTTGAAACTGAAAATTGCACTAAAAACGTTTTGTGTAACAATTTTGTTTTTAATCTAACAGAGCTTTTTTCTTTTTTTTGCATCTTTTGTTGGCTTCTTTCTTTTCTTGAAAGCATAAGCACTTAGCTGCAGCACTGTCATGTTGATCTGTGGTTTTTCTTTAGTATTTGACTGTTGCTGGGAAGAATAGTTTTTAAAATGCTTTGCATTAACATGCATACAGTCCTTTGTATGAACATATCCATTGATACAACTCTAATATGTAAATGAAAATCCCTCTTACAGAAATGTTTTCTGCACATATAAGGAGAAAAAGAAACATTATAGTAAATACCCTCTTATTTAACATATTATCATTTATAAGTCTCCACTAACAGGAATTCCATAGAACATTAGTTGCTCTATGACATTCATATTAATAACCCCAAAATTCTTTAAGACCTTGATACACTTCTTGAATTATCATCAGAGGCTTAACTATAGGCAATAACATTTTAGTTTTAGGGAGAGCTTATGCTATTTTAATTGCTAGAGAATTGGTCACTAATATATGATATGTCTAGTGGCTATTATCCGGAATATTTGAGTAATCAAAACCTCTCTTATCCAAGACTAACTAATAGTTTTGGTGTGTTTAATTCTTAGTTGGATTTTGTATGAAAAACCAAATTTTGAAGGGCACTCCATACCCTTGGAAGAAGGAGAATTGGAACTCAGTGGTCTCTGGGGTATAGAAGATATTTTGGAAAGAAATGAAGCAGAGTCTGATAAGCCTGTGGTGATTGGTTCAATAAGACATGTGGTCCAGGTAGGTTATGGTAAATCTAGATTTCCTTAATTCATTCAGCAAATATTTATTGAATGCCAAGATGATTCTTACTTCAAGGGAAATGTTCATTTTATTAAATAAGTGATTGGGAAAAATATTTGATTGGTGTTTTAAGTATATATTTTTTATTATTTAAGTATTTGTATAGTTACCATGAACTAGAAAAGAAACATTTTAATTGGTTATTTTTTCCACAACAAATTCTTAAGGTAAATCTCACTCCTAGTTATCTATTCCCATCTTTCAAATGTATTTTATGTAGTGACCTGGTTTTGATGAGTTCTATATGAACAGATTTTTCTTTTACTTAGGGTTTTTTGTTTTGTTTTGTTTTGTTTTTGCTGCATGAGTTCTGATTACCTTCAATGGTTTACAGGCATTCTACTTTAGAAAAATAAATAATCAAATATAATTCAGCTGTTAGTTCAACTCTGGAGTTTCACATGGGTTTAAAAAGTATTATTTGATATATTTGAGACCACCTTATGGATTGGTAAAATTTCCTGGTCTGTTATTCATTGATGAAGAAGGTGTTATCAGAGTCTTTCTTTGTGCCTCTTGGATGATTCTTATCTCTTAAAAACGTAATTAATGGTGTCTTCCAAGTGGAAAATTAAAATCCCAAGTGTTTGGGGCCGGCCCGGTGGCGCACTGCTACAGTGCGCCGCTTGGGAGCGCGGCGGCGCTCCCGCCGAGGGTTCAGATCCCACATACAGACCGGTTCCCGCTCACTGGCTGAGCACGGTGCGGGAGCAACACCAAGGGTTGCGATCCCGTTGTCAGTCCCAGTCCAGTATGGGCGCGACACTGAGGGTTGCGATCCGATGCCGGTCACGAAAAAAAGACAAAAAGGAAAAAAAAAATTAATTGGATGTAGAAATTGGGACCCTGTGAACTATTGGTGGGCATATAAAATGGTACAGCCACTGGGGAAAACAGTATGGTGGTTTCTCAAAAAATTAAATATAGATTTTTCATATAATCCACAATTCCACTTCTGGGTATATTCCCAAAAGAATTGGAAAAAGGATTTCAAGGTATATAGAGAAAAAAGGAAGGTTCTAAAATGAGAATAAGTAAGAATGAGTAACAGTTTTTGGCAGAGGAAAGCATCACCTATTTCCTAGATCAACATTTCTGAATGACTTAGATGATATTTGGTATTCTAAATGATTTTATCTTTTAATAATTTTAAGTATATAATGTAATAAGCTATAAGTAAGACATAAAGAGCCCTATTTCAAAATGTCCTTGTTAGTGGAATATTTTACCTACAGATTTATTTATTGCTCAAATAATATTGGTTAAAAGCAACACTTAAAAATATCATCTAAATCCCACCATCATGAAGTGTTCTCTCCCTTCATTTTCTTGAATTCTCTTCTTGTTGGCCATATCCTAATCTTCTTTTTCTGTAATAGTGATCATAATACAAGTATAATGTTCTATTTTTCCCCCTTAACACTGTAGTTCTCAATCCTTTTTCTCTCTATATACCATATACCTGAAGCTCATACTCCTAGTGGTAACATCTCGCAATGATTTCCAACTGGGGGCGGTATCAGAATCTGGGGGGGTGAGGATTTGGGTGCATCCAGGAAGGTGGGGTGAAGCATTTTGGTAAAGAGATCTGCTGCTTCACCTGATAATAGTAGACTTAACGTAGCAAATGCTTTTCATGTTACTACATGGTTTGGAGTATCGCTGAAGTATGATCATTTATTTATTATTTATTCTTTCAGTGGATCTTAAGGTTGTTTCTAGTTTTTTACTATTTAAAGTAATGCTGTGTGAATATTTTTGTGCATTTAATAACATAATTTTCTGATATATTTCTTTGGGTTAAATTTTTCTGAATGGTATCACGTTAAAGGGTAGGAACATGTTTATGGCTCCTGATATATCATGAATTATATTTTCTTTACAGATGTGTGCATGGTTTCTTGACACAAGAAACATATCACAACATGTGTTCAGGAGGATCACTTTTTTAGTTCATTAGATTGGCTCCTTTTGGTAATGTTTGAAAGAGCCTCACCTGAACTAACACAAGTGTTACTATTTTCTCTGTACCTCAGTTTACCTTGTTTGGCAGCATAGGAGAGGTTCAGTGAGTATTCGATTCATGCTTAGGCACTCAGCCAAGACCTTTTGAAGAGTGTTTGACATGCCCTAGACATGCAGGCCATGGAACAATTACCAAAATGCAGAGATTTGTAAATCACCATGAATGTGTGCTTTTGCCTTTTTGACTTAGACCAAACCACCATCATAGAGGCTTAGTCATAGTCAAGGAGAGTTACCACAGAGGGCTTATGGACACAAAACAAGAGCTGAGGAAGATTCCAAGTGCAACCATTCGATAGAGTCTCTGGACTTGGATGGTTATATCAGAGCAAAGGAACCAAAACTCCTGTGTCCACGGAGAGCCAAGTGAGGATGAGCAAAAGAAATATGTTCCAAAGTTCTAATAAAATGCATTTCTGATTATCTTTGCTTGGATGTAATACTGAGATGTATGACTAAATCAGTGTGTCTGCCCCAAAAGGAGGTATTATTAAGTCATGGGTGAAAACAGGAAAGGAATAAGATGGCAGGTGCTCTGTGAAATGTACATGTATATTTAAAGCTTTTTAAAATTATTATTATTATTATTATTTTTTGTCTTTTGTCTTTTTCCGTGTCCGGCAATGGATTGCCACCCTCAGTGTTGCCCCCGTACCGGACCGGGGACCGGCAACAGGATTGCAACCCTCGGTGTTGCTCCCGCGCCTTGCTCAGCCAGTGAGCGGGAACCGGTCTGTATGTGGGATCCGAACCCTCGGACGGGAGCGCCGCCGCGCTTCCCAAGCGGCGCACTATCCAGTGCGCCACCGGGCCGGCCCTTTTTAAAATTATTATTATTATTATTATTATTATTATTTTTTTTTTCCGTGTCCGGCAATGGATTGCAACCCTCAGTGTTGCCCCCGTACCGGACCGGGACCGGCAACGGGATCGCAACCCTCGGTGTTGCCCCCGCGCCTCGCTCAGCCAGTGAGCGGGAACCGGTCTGTATGTGGGATCCGAACCCTCGGCGGGAACGCCTCCGCGCTTCCCAAGCGGCGCACTAGCGCAGTGCGCCACCGGGCCGGCCCTTTTTAAAATTATTTTTAAGAAAAAGAATAATGAGCTTACTATAGAGTTAAATACATTAACTATTATTAATTATTAATTAATAATTATATATGTATACTAATATTATATATGCATATATCTATATATTTTTTTCTCAGGATTACAGAATTAGTCAAATTGACTTATTTACTGAACCAGAAGGCTTAGGACTCCTAACTTCCTACTTTGATGATACTGAAGAAATGCAGGGATTTGGTGTAATGCAGAAGACTTGTTCCATTCAAGTACACTGGGGCACGTAAGTATTTTATTTCAAATACAATTTTAATGAAGCTTTTTTTGTGAGTGTAGTACTGGGAACAGGGCTTAAGATATTCTTTGTCTGATTTGTTGTCCTGTTGGATAATTATTGACTAAAAGGTATTTTTTATAAGGCACGTAAAATTCTGATTCATTTGCGTCTATGTTACCATGGTTTACCTCTCTTATAAAACAATGATGATTTATTGGAGGAAGTATGGAGGGAAACTGCATTTTAAATGTAGGGCTTTCCTTATTGCAGAGGAACCTGATTCATTCAAAGCTGAATAACAGATTATACCTTCTTGGTAATTCAGAGGAGGTCATTCCAGGCATGAAACCTGCATATTTCAGGTGGGATAGAAGCCAACATACATGATACTTCCTTTAGCATGTTCACACAGTGCTGTCCAAAGCCCCTAGGATGTTGGTTTCATAAATCACAGGAAACAGCAGGAATATTTTGAAGGAAATGGGAATATCTCAGATGAGAGAGAAATTAGGATAGAAAGTACAGATTTCAGTACTAAAGAAAGTGGTTGCTAAAGTAGAGAGCACAGCCCAGGGTATGTGAAAGACATCCACTGATGCAGGAAAAAACATTAAAGCTTCTTTATATTTTATTAAAATATCCTCCTTTTAAGATTTTACTTTTGTGTTTGTTTTCTAATATGCATAATGTATTTGTGCAGTGGTAATGTTTATAATTTATAAATATTCGTATATTCAGAGAATGCTCAAAAGTTTTTAATAGTGGGATATGCAGTCAAAAAGTTTATAGTCTATCTCATAAAGTGACATAGGAAGTGAATGATAAGGCATTCCTTAATCATATGTTTTGCATTCTATAGATTACTAAAAGTCTTGTTTTACTATTGTTCTTAGAAAAATGATTTGATTGTGCAGTAGGAATTAGGTAAATTAGAGATCACAGAGTCTGATTTTTGGCCCTCAGGAATCAGGAAGTAGGAAGTGTGACTATTGAGATTTGGGCTTGGGAGTAGAAGTTTTCCTTGAATGGTTGGAAGATGGTCATATAGAAGAGAAATTAGACTTGCTCTCTGTTATTTCATAGGAGGCCTGGGGTGGGGGGCAGTTGTGGAACAGTAGAAATTAGGAGGTAGCTTTTAATTTGATCCAGGGAAGAGCTTTCTAATGGTTAGAGTGGTTAAAATAGAAGTGGGCTGCCTTTCCAGGTGGGGAGTTTCTCATCACAGGGGGTATTCAAGCAGAGAATGGACAACAATTTATCTGGGGTTTTGTAGAGGGAGTAAAGTATGAGTTAGACTTCCTTTGTGACTGTTTGTTTATTTATTTGTCTTTAACATTATGAAATGTCACACACCTAGAAAAAAGTTTACAGAGGGTAAATGTACAGTTGAACAAATAATAAGTTGAGCACCCAGGTAGGTATCACTCAAGTCAAGGCCTAGAACACTCCCAGCACCCTAGAAGCCCCAGAGTGTTTCTTCCCTATGCCAACCCCCACCTCTTGGAAAACAACCTCCTTCTACCCAGATAAGTGAGATATATAGCAAGGAAAGACTGTAGTCATAGTTTGTCAGTACACAAAGCCATACTTATTAGGGCAGAATTTAGGGTATAAAGAGTAATATTAATTAAATATCTCCCTTTGATGTATAAAGTCATTGTTCAAGGACAGTCATTTTTTATACTGCTTTTTATATAGTGTACATTTTGAGTTATGTCAATTGGTACCCTACGTAGGCCTTGTAAGGCTGTCAGATTTCTAAAGGTGATTAATTTAGAGGTAGGAATTAGGAAAGGCTTTTTCTCAGCATACCCAAAGTATGACAAGGAATTGGGACTTTAACAAATGTAAACCCAAAACACTGTCTATGAGATGTATATGTTTCAGTAAATCTGTTAATTAATCAATTAAGCATCTACTGTGTGCCAGGTGCTTTTCTGAGCACTGGGAATACAGAAGTGAGCACATGAAATAATGTCCCTGCTCTCATGGAGCTGTCCATCTAGTAGGAATAGACAACACAAATACACGTGTAATATGTCAGGTGGTAAAGGCTGCAAGAAACATAGCTACAGAGAGGGGCAGGGGCAGTGCTATTTTAGATAGGGAGGTGAGGAAAGGTCTCTGGTGACATTTAAGCAGGGACCTGAAGGAAGTGGGGGAGGCTGCTGTGGGGCTAGCTGAGGGAAGAGGGGCAGGGGGAGCTTCCCAGGCAGGAAGCACAGCATTTGCAGAAGCCCTGCTGGGTGTGCTTGGGCGACACCAGAGGCCAGGGAACCTGAGCAGAGTCAGCTAGGAGGATGGTGATGGGAGGCAGGCTTCATGCCAGGTCAGGCCTGGAAGGCCTTAGGAGGGGGTTTTGATGTATTCTAAGTGGCATAAGAAATCACTGGAGAATTTGGATCTAACTTGTGTTTTAGAAGGATCATTCTAACTGCTGTGTAGAAAACAGACTGTAAAGAAGCAAAGGTGGAAGCAAAGAAACCAGTTAGGCAGCTGTAGTCATACAGGCAGGAGGTGATGGTGGCTTGGACAGTGTGATAGTGGTGGCAGAAAATGGGCAGAGTTTGGATGTATTTGGAAGGTAGAACTGACAGCATTTATTGACAGATTATATGTCCAGAGTTTGGAACCCCAGCATTTATTGAGATGAGAAGACTTGGAGGAGCAAGGTGGAAGGGAGAGTGACATTCAGGAATTAGTTTTGGACAGATTAAGTCTGAGATGCCAACTGCTTACTCAAATAGCAGGGCTGGAAGGTGATTGGCTTTGTGAGGTTGGAGTTCAAGAAAGAGGCAAGAGATATAAATTTAGGAGTCATCAGCATAAAGAAGGTATTTAAACCAGCCCTGAGATGAGATCCCAAAGGAAGTCAGTGTAGTTAGGGGAAGAGAAGCCATATGAGCCTTAGGCACTTTTATATTTAGAGATTGGGAAGAAAAATAGGAACCTAAACAAAAGAAAACATAACATTTATATGTATGTTTATATGTATATCTGTATTTACTCTTTTTTCATTGCTATATAGTAGTCACCATGTATTTTTCATTGTGGAGTATACCATATCAGAGCCCAATTTATTATTATGAAGGTTTTCAAACATACACCAAAGTAGGAAGAATAGTTCAGAGAACAACCACATACCATCCACTTAGATCCAATAATTGCTAATATTTTGCCATTTTACATTACCGTTTTTTCTCCTGAGCACTTGAATGTAAGTTGCAGACATCATGACCCTTCGTTCCTATATACTTCAGCCTGGATCTCTTTATGATGACATTCTCCTGTGTAACTATCATTATTACACCTAAGAAAATTAACAATTTGTCCATGATCCTATCTAATCTGTAGCCCATAACCAAATTTCCCCAGTTGCCTCAGGAATATCTTTTATAGATTTGTTTTTTTCTAATCAGGATCCAGTTAAGATTCATATAAATTCATCTGGTTGTTCTGTCTCTTTAAGTCTCTTTTAATCTCTGGAGTACCCCCATCTTTAGTTCCCATGCTGCTGACTTTTTAAAGAACTTAGGCCAGCTGTCTTAGAGAATATCCACATTCTGGATTTGTCTGAGTGTTTCCTTATGATATCATTTAACTTGTTCCTCTCTTGCCTGAATTTTCTATATAATAGGGATTAGGTCTAGAGGTATGATTAGATTCAGGTTGAACAGTTTCGGCAAGGACACTTCATATAGGTAGTACCATATATTTATGTTGCATCATGTCAGGTGGCATGTGCTAACCAGCTTACCCATTAATGATACCAAGTTTGATTGCTTAGTTAAAGTGGTGCCTCCCACATCTCTCCATTGTAAAGATACATTTTTCCCTTTGAGATTCACAGCCCACTCTCTTTTAAATAACCTCAAAGTCGGCACATTCATATTTAATCTTTCAGGTATCCAGTTGGTTTCTGTGAATGGCCAACATTCATGTATAGCCATATCTGGGGAGTAAGACTTAGGATCCACCTGGAATTACCGTTTCTGGTTTAAGAAGAACAAGTGAACAAGATAAGACCGATTTTTCTTGCATGACTCAAAGGGTATTTCTAAAAGAGTAATTACACAAATATTTTTAATAAACGCATAGATGGCCATTGCTATTACTTTAACAATATTCATTTGTATGTGTGCATTTGTTATGTTTTTTTTAAAAAAAACCTCATACTTCATGGTCGTACTGTTTAAGTACCACCTTAAAGTCATACTTTTTTGTGTATATAGGCAAAACTCTTGTTAAGTGCATGGGACAATAAAAGAGTACCTTTAGAAACTGAAACAACACTGCCTGAAGATAGTTTGCCCCTCTCCTCATGGCCTCAGGAATAATGTATCTCGTTGGAACAATTTAGGAAAAATGAATCATACTCGGCATATGAGTTTTCAAATTCCAAAGTCCACCCAACATTCATAAATGTCTGTCTGAGTTACCCAGCTGGCCCTCAGCACCCACTCACTGAGGAAGTACTTTCAGAACAGCAGTCTCTTCACATGTATCAGTTTTTGTGTTAGGTTTTTAAACAAATTCCCCTTTACCTAAAATTTCATTCTTTCTATAAATGTTCTGTGACTAAAACACATGCTTCAAAGAGAGTGAAATTTAATATCAGATGAATAAATCTCTTCAGAACTCAAACTATAGAAGGAAAGACTTCATGAAAAGGGTAGTTGATTAAGCATCATTTCAAAATCTCAGAATCACTTACTCATGAGCCATACATTCTGCTTATGAAAAATTAACCCTGTTCTCTTGTGAAGGAGTCAGACTTCGAGGCCTTCTTGACTTGTTTACCTAATAACACAATTTATTACAGAACTGCCATTATTTAGTTAGGGCACAAATTCATGTGTAGTGTGCCTGTGTTAGGTTGAGCTCCAAAAAATATGTCATGCTTTAAACATAAGGAAGTTTAAAGTACTCCATTCTTAGCTTCTATTTTCTTGAGGTTTAGGAGCCTTACAGTGGTATTTAAAAGATAAGCCTCTTTTTTCCTTAAATGTTTTTGAAGTATAACATTTATACAAAAATGTTCACAACAATTCTAAGTGTATAAGCCAAGTGAATTTTCTCAAAGTGAATACACAAGGTAACCATCACCAGAAAAAAAAAAAAAAAATAGAACATTAACAGCATCGCAGAAGCCCCTCATTCATGCCACCTCCTCATCATCTGGACGTCCCTTACCCCATCACCGTCATCCTGACTTCTAACAGTGATTAGTTCTGATCCCCCACCCGTATACCACACCCAGCCTTTGAGCATCCTTTTATGTTGACAAATCATCAGTAAGATTCTGGTTGTAAATCCCCATATAATTTGTGGATCTAAAGAAGTTACCAATTTGTCCAAGAGAATCTTTAACAAAAACCATCACCAGAAGAGTGCCTTGGGCCAAAATCGGGAACAAGAGAAAAGCAAAGAAGGGAGCCTCGGACCCATTTTGCTGATAAAATATTTTATTTACAGCCATCCTTTTCTTGGCATGGTGTCTGGGAACATGGTGGAGTGCCACAGGTGGGGCATTTTAGTGAGACTAACAAAGAATTGGAGTGTATAGGTGATCACCGAGAATTCTGTGTTGGTTTATGAAGGGGGTACATTAACACCTCTCTTATATAACAGTTACTTCTCCAGCAACCTCACCTTCTCAGAGCCCTCCCAGGAACTAAGAAGTTTGCAAGAAGACTTTGCAGACTTTAGAGACAGTTCTAACATGCATGATTTTCTGGTTTCTGGCACATTGGAGGAGGGCGGGGTTGCTGGCTCCCTGACTGAAGCAGAAGGGACAGATGACAAGTCTGAGAGAAGGGTGTGGTACTGAAAAGCCATAAAATCAGAAACAAGAACTCAAAAAGCTTTGTGGAACAAGCTCTCCTACAACTTTCAAAGACTCCACTGTGCATTAAGTAATGCTCACAGTGATGATCTTGAGTAATTGTGAAAAGAGTAAATTACGTTCAGTGCACTCCCAATGGTGAGAAAAATTGCCCTCAAAAAATGATTAGGAGGGCCGGCCCGGTGGCACACTGCTACAGTGCGCCGCTTGGGAGCATGGCGGCGCTCCCGCCGAGGGTTCGGATCCCACATACAGACCGGCCGCTCACTGGCTGAGCGAGGTGCAGGGGCAACACCGAGGGTTGCGATCCCGTTGCCGGTCCCGGTCCAGTACAGGTGCGACACTGAGGGTTGCGATCCGTTGCCGGTCACCGGCCGCTCACTGGCTGAGCGAGGTGCAGGGGCAACACCGAGGGTTGCGATCCCGTTGCCGGTCCCGGTCCGGTACGGGCGCGACACTGAGGGTTGCAATCCGTTGCCGGTCACGAAAAAAGACAAAAAGGAAAAAAAAAAATTAAAAAGTGATTAGGAGCCCGGTTCTGGAGTCACCTTGTATCAGCCCTACCTTTGGTACTCACAGCTGCGTGGCTTTGGGCAACTTACTTACCTTCGTCTGTAAAATGGGGACAATAGTATTCCTTCCTCATGGCATCGTTGTGAGGATTAGATGGAATTGCGAGTGGCATTCTGGTAACCTCTGGGGAGATGTTAGCTGATATTAATTTTTGACACTGACAAATGATTAGGTGAAACATCCTATTCTTTGGTTATAAATGAGATGTTACCTTTTAAAACAAGACTTGCGATTTCCTAACTAGGGCCTCTCTAAGTACATATAGTGCAACAAGATAACTACTTTTATTACTTGGAAGTAATAGAGACATTTACACTTAGAAGTGATTCATAATATAAATTAAAGTAAATGGGCAAAGCCAGCCAAGGAGGAAAGTAAAAGACCAAGAAGAGGAGCATAGCATGGCTTACTCCTCCTTGAGTCTGACGTTATCCTAATACCTCTGTGTACCCGTCCATCAGGTGGGTCCATATCCTCTCCTGTTCTTTCCCTCCCTTGTCAGTAGAGTCCTATGTACCAAACAGGAAGAAAAACTGAAATAAATGATGAGTTGTCTCCATTTCTTTCTTTCCTTGGTGGTTATTTAGATGGCTGATTTATGAAGAACCTGGATTTCAGGGTGTCCCTTTCATCCTGGAACCTGGTGAATACCCTGACTTATCCTTCTGGGATACAGAAGCAGCATACATTGGATCCATGCGGCCTCTGAAAATGGTAAAAATGAAATCAAAGTGTTCTTGAAGGCAGTGAGTCTTTCTCAAGCTTGACACTGATCATTCATAGGATGTGACTTTGAAGCAATGAAGCTGACTTTTTAAAAACCAACATTCATGGAAAAACAGGAGGAAGGATAAATAAAATTCCAACTTGTGGGTGATGCGACAGAGAAAGAGGATAGGTAATTAGGAAAGCTTCATGATAAATCAAGTTGGGTCTTAAAAGTGAGCAGGATCATTTTAGATGGAGCTGTCAGAGAAGGCACTGTGTGAGCCCAGCTGCAGAGCTGGGACAGGGCAGGGCACGTGGAGGACCAGCCAGTTGTCATGACGGGTGGCTAGGCTGGGCGCAGCTGGGGAGGTGCTGAGGCTGGATGTCCAAATGAGCGCTGTCCTCCCAAGTACTTGTCATAGAAAGGAGACTTGTACTTCCTCTGCCTTCTCCCATGTTTTGCCTTGTTCATTGTCTTTTTCTGCTAGACTGTAAGCTTTGGGAGGAACCAGGCTGCATCAGTCTTGTCCCAATGTTGAGCACTATGTGCTCATGAATGTTGAGTGCCTACTTTCAATTTGAGACAAATTAGAAAGTTGGGAAGACAGTTTTGTTTTGATCTTAATTTTATCCTTCCTTCCAAAGCATTTGGTTTAGTTACCTGTATGTTTGCTGGTATTAATGCAAATGATTTGGGCTTTTTATTTTTCTAAAATTAAATCCACTTTCAAAGAACAAAGTTTTGTTATTTTTGTGAAAAAGTGTTGCGCCAGGTTTTGAAAGCAGTTTTAAAATTGAATTTTACAGCTTTTGAAAAGGATTACTTTTGAAAAGCACACTTACTTGGTTGTATGTTTGGTTTGCTGATAAAATCAGCCACATTCCTTTGTAATTACAGTTCATTTGGTACATTTGAGCATCTTTGGCTACACTTTTTAAAAAGCTGTTAAAGATATATTGGTGAAAAATATCCTTCTTACTTTCCCTGACTGCTGATTTTAACTTTCCTATTGCTGATCTTACGACCTGATTAATATTTTTATGTAACACGTTTTCTCTGTTTATTTTTAGTAAGTTTTTTTTTAATTTTTAAAAAGCCTTTTATTAAATGAGTGTAACAACCTCCCGTAGACCTATCCTTTTGGGATGTTTTAAATTTTATCTAATAGTTTATGTGGTTATTCCAGAGTTTTCCAGATTGTATTATGTGAACATCAGTAGTTTTATGGGCCAAGGGTTGCAAAATCAAATGCCTGCAGGGGTCAGGCAGAGACTTCAGAGGAGTGAAGCTGGCTGGGAGTTGAACCAAAGGGAGTGTTGGAGACGGTCACACTGCAGCCTGTGCCCGGCTGAAAGACGAGCCCAGTGTAGGATTCATAAGCAGAAGGTGAAGGTTGCTGCCTGTGAAAATTTGGGTCCAGAGATATCAGATCTTAGGATGGTTTTTCAAGAGCAGTGAGAAATATGGATTTTTATGAGAAATTTTCTGAGTTAGAAAAAAAAACTTATTAGGTCAAAAAACATACCAAACATGCAGATTCAGCTTATAGACTACCTGTGTGAGACTCTGCTCTAGACCATCTTCCTCTGCATTGTTCATCATTTTAGAACTGTCTCATGTAAATTAAAACAAACTGGAACAAAGTCACACTGGAAGGTTCTCAATGGCTTACCATATACTGCTATGGGCAGCATGAAATGGTAATGTCTCAGTGAAAAACTGTTTTTCTTACTATGTTATTTTTCTTTTCAGGGTGGTCGTAAAGTTGAATTTCCTACAGACCCAAAGGTAAAAACTCTGTGTGTGTGTGTGTGTGTGTGTGTGTGTGCGCACGTACACACACACAATATGTCTTGTACATGTATATTCAAAATTTTATTCCCAGTCCATCTCCATAAAGATAATGCTTGTGTGACTTCACATATAAGCCATCAAACACAATTGCAGCCAAAGGAAGTTGTCCCAGTTTCCATGTGCTATCCTTCAGGCTGGAAGATGATGCTAATGGCACTAGTTATCACTAACAGAGCATGTGTGGCCATGGCTCAAAAGTTCATAGTTATATAATAAGTTTATAATTTGTGGTCGTATTTACTAATCGCAGGGCCTGTTGCTACTTGCCAGTTAGCCAGGAAAAAAACTTTCAAGAGAAAATGTTCTTTCTGCTATTCCTGCTTCCTATATTTATGCCACCTACTTTGATGCTATAGTTTTTTTCATTTTTAAAGCAACTTTAGAATCCTCTGGTACCTTAATTTGGCCCAAGAAAAATTCTAAATATCAGTTCTAGACATTGAACAAAAAACAATTATTTAAAAACTGCCTTTTGAACCATAGCTTCGGGCTATACCACACACCACATCAGGAAAAAAAGCCTGATTTTTTAAAAACTATATTATCAGATGCTATTATTTAGTTAATTTTTTAAAATATGATTAGAAAATTTTAATTTGTGTTCCAGGACTTGGTGATATTAAATGACTGACTTAATGTTTAGCTGTTGAGATATTTAACTTCTTATAAATTACTAGTACATCTCATTTCTCCTGTAGGTTGTTATTTATGAAAAGCCTTTCTTTGAAGGAAAATGTATGGAACTAGAAACAGAGACGTGTAGTTTTCTCATGGAAGGAGGTGAAACAGAAGAAACAACTGGAGACGATCATTTGTCATTGACATCAGTAGGGTCTATGAAAGTTCTAAGAGGCATGTAAGTAGATGGGGTGACCTGTAAGGATTTCTTTTTTCCTTAATAAAGTAATACATTTTCCCCTTTTTTTTATCCCCAAAGACAGCATTCCTGATTCTATGGTAAGGTGAATTTTGACAGCTATATCCATGTTCTCCCTAGCCTATGATGACCTGGGTTTGAGAAAGCAGTTTAAGGAACTGGAGTAGGGTCAGCACACCAACCAAAGCTGACTGATTGGCCTATCCAGATTGATCAAGTCCACAATCTTGCTTATTAGAATTAGGGTGCAAACTATTGAACTATTAGTTTGCTTTCTAATTTTTACAATATTTTTGCATTTTATAGATCTTACACATTTCCTATAGAAATATACACTGAAATTTTTCTAGTAAATAGTCAAAAATTAATAATATTTTAATTATTATTCAAAGAAAGTTTATCCAGTTTTATTTGCTGAGGTTCTTTTGAATCAGTTTTTGTTAAACACACACATACACACACACACACGTACATATACATACTCCCCTACACTCCTTTACAGAACTCTGATGTATGTTTCTTAGGATGTTTCCTTGGGACCATTCTGTTATTTTCCTAAATTTTAGAGAATTCCAATAATAACACATATGTTGATGTCTAGTTTTATAACTATTTTCATTTGTTAATGAGACTGATATGTACATTGGAAAAATTTTTAACATGTCTGAAAATTACTATTCCTTCATGTTCTTTCTACTGCAGTTGGGTTGCTTATGAAAAGCCTGGATATACAGGCCATCAGTATTTGCTAGAAGAAGGAGAATACAAGGACTGGAAAGATTGGGGAGGTTACAATGGCGAACTTCAGTCTTTACGACCTATATTAGGTGTAAGTTAAAGAAAAGCTAATGGCTAATACTTGGTCTTTTGGGGATAGTAAATGGCTAGCCTTTTAATTTTGAGTTTTTTTCTCAATAGGATTTTTCAAATGCTCACATGATAATGTACAGTGAAAAAAACTTTGGATCCAAAGGTTCCAGTATTGATGTATTAGGAATTGTTGCTAATTTAAAGGAAACTGGATATGGAGTGAAGACACAGTCTATCAACGTACTGAGTGGAGTGTAAGTGAAATAATCCAGTTGCAATTTTAAACATGGGTTTCACCTTGGTTTGTGTTAAATTAACAGTGTCTCACACAAAGTAGGCACTCAAATATCTCAACAGCTGAACATTAAATTGGTCATGTAATATTTACTGCCATACTTTCCTCACTTCTTTAAAAAATCTTTCTCGGATAATCTTTTTTTTTTTTTTTTTTTTAACATGTAACACAACATTGAAGTAGGCTTTTGGGTGTCATGATAGAAATCTACAGGTCTGCTTCCATTGTCATTCTGTGTGGAAAGATCATGAATTTCTCATGAAGGGAATCAAATAATAATAGTAATCTAACATTAAAACTTGAGGTTGGGACAAAGTCCCATTAGATTTTCCTATGGTCCTACACCAGCTCCAGTGTATTTCTTCACTATTATTTTGACATAAAAACAATTGTTTCGGTGTACCTAGAGTTGGCAATTGAGCGCTTTATTAACGGTAAAGCAAGTTTTCATTGAAAGATGATCAGTCAAGACTCTGCGATGCAAGTTACTGCAAGCCAAGCTAAATTGGCTCAAGTGACAAAAATGGACTGGCTTATGTAATTGAGAAGCCCTGGAGATTTGCTTCAGGCATGGCTGGATGCAGAGGATCACACTGTCATCAGAACTTTCTCTCTCTCTTGACTGGGCTTTTTTATGTTGGCTTTACTTTAGACAGGCCCTTTTCATCTTGTGCCTGGTGGGTGCATCTGGCTTTTGTTCTCTCAACTCATTTCATGCAGTGGAAAGAGCTTCTGTTTCCCTCACAAGTTCCAGGTTTCTTTGATTCTCTAGGCTTGGGTCATGTGCACTTGCTTGACACAATCACTATAGCCGGGGAGATGGCTGTACCTGGGTTATGTGCCCTTCCTAGAGCTGAGATGTAGGGTCTGTCCCATAGGAGCCACTCAGATATGATTGGGGTGGGTAGTTCCCCAGGAACATCAGAAAGAGTGAGGGTAGATATCAGATGGGTAAAAACAGCAGCTGGCTATTATAGGGAGTTACATTATTATTCTTATGATCCAGGCTAATGTCTGTTCTAATTTGTTACAAGTGAGAGTATTCTTAAATGATTATATGAAATAATTTTACATTGGTTCTGTTGAAAGTGTGTTAGGTTTTTGACGTCATGAGTGAAATAGGCTATTTGAATCATTGTAGCCTCAATCTAATTGTATTTCATAGGGCCTCCCACCATAGCCCTGGATATTTGAGATGTGTCTATAGTGTACTACTTTTAATGTTAGTCATATTCACTAAATCTTTGTGTAGGCTGTTGGCTGTGGTGCATCTTGGCAGAATGACATCAGTGACTTGTGGTCTTCCATTCTTAGCAGGAAATGCTTTCTGTTGGGTACTATTCTGGAGCCCTAACATTTTAGAATTATAGTTGGCTATCTACAAAAGGCAGAAGTCATCTGAAATGTTGTGGCTTTGCAGTATTTTAGCTTGTCTTTAAAGCTAATTATTTAGAAAGAAAATATAGTGATTGACTCAATCTGGTGAAACACTTGTATGTTTTGATACTCATAGGAGTGTTACTTCCATTAGTCAGAGCGCAGTCATCCACCCTAGCAAAAGAAGGAAAAGGACACTAGGTAGAATTCCCTTAGGACATTTATGTAGATTACTGTTAGCACAGGTAGAATTATTGTATCCTGAGCCAACCTCCTTTTTTTCTTACCCAGCCCTTGCTTACTTGAAATCAGTTTCCTTTATAAAATGTTGCTTTTATGTTTCTATTTTTAGTAATTTCTAGTTGCACTTCCTGGCTTGGGCTTTTTCTGGTTGTGGCAGTTGAGTTTGGTACTGAAGGGAGGCATGCACACACACACGCGCACGTACCCCACTTCCTTTTAAATGCTTTGGATGTGGAAGGGCTTCTGTACTTACCAGGGCCAGCTGCTTCCTCATTTTCATTTAGTTTGTCATTTGACAAAATATTTATTGAGGTCTGTTATATGCAAAGAATTACACTATGTCCTCAAAGAAGTTACAATAGTTATGTAAAACATAATTACTGCTACAAAAGAGGTAGAGTTTAAATGCTTTGGGACTCCATAGCAGAGAGAGATGAATTTCCAGTCTGGACACAGGGAAGACTTTGTGGAAGAGGTAACATTGTGGGATAGGAAGGTTGAGATGTGCCGAGATGAGGGAGAAAGACTAGCCTATTCATTTTTAATAGTTTCAAAGAAGAGTAGTTTATTTGAATTGCTTTATTTTTATTGGTAAATAGGCATTTTAGTTTGGTTCTTTATTTCTTAGGATGGAACGCAAAGTCAGAAAAAAACTTTGAAATTCTTGTTCTGTGAAAGTGTCTCCCAAGAGACTTACTATTACAGGTGTAATAAATGGAAAGTGAACTCATTATTAGCTCTGATACAGAGAACAGCCTTCAGGAAGGATGCTCATGAAACCAACAATTGAGGTTTTTAGGAACTGCATTTCCTTTCTTATTGGAATGTCCAGAGAAATTCTCTTACACAGTCCTGCTTACCAGTTCTATGCTATACTCTTGCTCAAATAGTGGGAATTGGGCTAATTTTTTTAGAACTAAGAGCAAAATGAAATATTTCTAGAGTTAAGATAAAAAATAAGCTTGCTGTTGTTTTAAATTCTTTTTCCTTTGGCCTCCCACAGAAAGGCAGGTTTGCCTGCTGCTCTTAATTCAGAGCAATTATTCCACCAGGCTGGGACCTGCTAGTACCTGAACTTGCCTCTCTCCCCCCACCAATTTTTAAAGAGAAGTGTTGATTCATGTGTACAGAATACATTTGAACAAGGACAGAGAGGAATTTACTCAAAAGTCCCAAGTATAGGTTAAGAGTAGACTCTAGATCATAAATAAAGCAGAGAATCTCAGATCCAGGTTTTTGGGTTTGTCCTTCCTCCTCTCCCCGCCCATATCCATGCATGATTCATCTGGGGCTGCATCTTGGGAGGAAAACAACACTACTGTCAATTTGAGAAACATCTTAGTTAATTGTTTTTCTGCTTCAGCCTCAGTGAATTAGATAGGCTTACCTGAATGCTGGGTTTTGCTCACTTTATTTTACTTTTAGGGGGGATAGTATACTCACACTTGTTAGTTTAAAAAAAAAAAAAAAGGATTAGATAAAACTGATTTTTGGACATGCTCAGTTGCTGCCTCCTCTCCTGTGTATTCAGTTTCTCCATCTTCCCTGGCTTTTTCTCCTCCGAACCTTGAAGTCAAACAAAAAGGCCTTTAACCCTCTGTTTCCTCATTTGTTACAGACCCAGAGTTTTGCCTGGAACCCATTTATGTGATATGACTTATCCTCTTTAATTGTTGGGGTTTTTTTAAGTCCTGGTTTTTGTAGATTTCCTTGATATGCAGACGCTCTTCCCCACAGCATTGTGCTCCCGCTGTGCTGTTGCTTCCCTGCGTAAGGTGTGAGAAGCCGAAGCCCGTGTGGGCAGAGGCAGCATGTGCATCGTGCACAGGTACCCACGTGCTCTAGAGCCTCGACTTGGCCAACGCCCTTACGTATAAATGAAAATACAAACTTTCACACAGGTTAAGTGACGTCTTCAAGGTTATCTGAAAATTAATGTCATGACCACAGCTGATAAAGAATACGTTTTTTAAATTGCTAATGAAAATTCTGAAATGGGGCAGGGTGGGGTGCAATATTTTCTGAAAGAGACTGTGACTGGTGCTTATAGCAGCTTCTCCATTCATATGGCCAGGAGTGACTGTACAGATGTTAGCTCTCACAGCTGGTTATCCCTTGAGATTTATGCAGTGTCCTTTTTCTCCTTGATGGCTGTTCATTTCCTAGTAATGACTATATTTGAATATTTGTTTAAATCAGCCCTTTAGATGGTAAAATTGTAATCTGTTCAAATTATGAAGTGTGGCCTCTTTTAGGTATGATTTAGTAGAAGAGTAAAAGAAAGGAAACTTTATAGGGCGCATGGCAGTTTGGGTCACAACGTGAAGAGAGCCTAGCGAGCCTCAGGGGATATAGGTTCAATGATGTTCTTGCCACTAACTGATTGTGTCACCTTGGACAAGTCACTTTCCTTTCAGAACAAACACCAACGAATAATTCCATGTGATACTTCTTACCCATCTGTGAACTTTTGAGGGCAGGGATTTTGTCTATTTCATCTTTGTATTCCTAGTGCCAGTCTAGCTCCTGGGACATGGCAAATGGGCAGTCAACGTTTATTGAATGAATAGATGAATTAACTTTCCTGTGCCTTTAGGTTTTCCCATCTGTAAAATGGGAAAACCTCCCTAGAACAATAAATGTGAAGATAGATGTGAAAGCATTTTAGAAAATTCTGAGTGCTATATGTATATGGATATTATATGGATCTTAGTCCTTTAATCTGTGAGAGGATCATTAGAGCAATGAATTAATTGAGGAGTAGACACTGAGTATCACTTGAAGATAACAGAAAGAATTGAAAGACTTTTTCCCCTTCAAAGATTTTATCTTTGGATAAGGAATAGCATCAGTAAGTTGGTTTTGTTGATTTTCCTCTCTGAGTGTAGATCACTTCAAAGACAAATGAAAACATTCCAAAAGATATTTGTTTTTAGTATTTCTGTGAGTTTGTTCAATTTTGCGTATTACATAGTTGTATCATGTTGGAAATACTGTTTGAAAGAAAATTTTGGTTACTTAGCTACTTTTTTTTTTAAGCATTTCTTCTGTTAACTTTTTTTTCAGTGTGGTTTGTTGTGTAACAGACGCATAGCGTCTTGTTAAGATCTTTCTGAAAAAAGATTTTAATGTTGCTAAGAAAAAGAATTCTTGCTTGTTTATTTAAAAAAACCAGGTACTTCTTAAAAGTCCAATTTGTTTCTTAGAATTAGGATAAAATACAGAGAAGTACACCCATTAGAGCTTTCTCAGGGAATAGGATTTGATAAGCAAGAACACCAAAAAGTTCATGTAAAGATACTCTTGTACTTACCATTTTGATTTGCCATGTAGACAAATCCATCTGTTCCTAAAGATTAAAGGAAAATCAGAAAAATTAAGATTACAAATTAGTAAAATAAATGAAAGTTTCTGTATGATACATATTTACCCAAATGTGTGTGATAGTTTTATATGTAAAATATGAACTATAACAAATCAATGTTTTTTTTTTTTTAGGTGGGTAGCCTATGAAAATCCCGACTTCACAGGAGAACAGTATATACTGGATAAAGGCCTTTATACCAGTTTTGAGGACTGGGGAGGCAAAAATTGTAAGATCTCTTCTGTTCAACCCATATGTTTGGTAAGAAGTTATATTTCTATATGAGAATATTTAACTGAATTCTGGATTTCCTTAATATGTGCTTCTGGTTCATGTAATATTGCTACAGAAAATATTCTGAGTAATTGCTAATAATCTGGAAGAAAAAACTTTTTCAACATGTCTGCTCTATTTATTTCTTTTTCTTTTCACTTAAAAAATTTTTAGGATTCTTTTACTGGCCCAAGAAGACGATATCAGGTAACTTTAAAAAGTTCTATTTTTTATAATTAGGGGCTTTCCATTGAAAAGCTGAATTTATATAAAATGTCAGACATTTGGAACATTTTGTTAGTTTTACCCATTTTTATGCCTAAAAGCATAATTGTATTTTTAAAAGAAGATTTAAGTTTAATGCTTAATTGATAGCACTGACCCATGTCTAAGTATTTCTTATAAAGTGCTCTTATCATGTAAAGCTGAATGTTATTTATTACATTGAATCACAGTTTAATACACTAGGATTAATATTTCAAACAACAGCATATAGTTATTGTAATAGTAAAATGAATTGTAATATTTGCTGTGTCTGCATCAGACAGGTATTTTATATGGTCTCACTCAAGCCTTTTGAATGCTAACTCTACATCAACTGCAGTGTTACATTCGTTATTTTACCTTTAATGGAAGTGTTCATACATCCATAATTATAGAGGCACAAACACCATGGTAGCATCTTTTATTGACATATACAAGATTCTAATATCAGGTATCTTCCACTGAAAGGGAGGAAAACTATACTACATGTTTCCAAAGTACAACTTAGTGCTAATGTTAGAACTGATGAACAACTACTTTGGGCAACAATAAAGCTTTAAAATGCCTGACAGCTTGTTAACAACAGGGTGTTTTACAGAAAGTTAACTCTGTTGTTGGATTTTCCTTTGATGTTTTTGAATTAAATTAAATAGTCATGAATGGTGCAGCCAATGTGTTTCTAATTGATCATTAATGTAGTAGAAAATGAAAGGATTTATAAAATTCATGCCAGTTTACTGTTATGAGAGCGAACAGGTCATGTTTGGGTCATCATTTCAAAGGCTGAATGAGTTATCGTGTTTAGGAAAATAATTTTATGTGTTTCTGTTTACTTTTTCAAAGATTCACTTGTTTTCAGAACCACAGTTTCAAGGTCACAGTCAAAGTTTTGAAGAAACAACTAGTCAAATTGATGATTCATTTTCTACCAAGTCTTGCAGAGTTTTAGGGGGCAGGTAAGCAAAACAGTGGGCTGGCAGAGCCGAATCCCTGGGGTAAAATAGAATTCACATATCAGCAAGTATGTAGTGACACCTGTTAGATGCTGGGCACTATATGAAACCACCATCTCAGTTCAAGAGTCTGCAGTGCAGCATCTGAGTGCTAGATGTCAGAGGACGTGGACGTCTGTGTAGGCTGGAGAAGGTGACAATCACCTCACTGTGCAGTGGAATTCAGACCAGGTTCTATATGCTCAATGCCTGCTCCATCATCTGTAAAGGGAGTGTAAGGTTCTAAATCTCTACGGTAGCTCCCAAGGTAGATTTTTTTTTATAGGTAGATAGGAGTAGGATAGGCACTCTGCATGATAGGAAGGTGAAGAAGAGTGCACGGCTGGAGTGCAGTTGGTGTGCATGCTGATCGGGGGGCACTCCACCCTCCCTGGCTGTGAGGGCTTTGTACTGGGGAGAAGGGAAGCCAGCTTGGACTGGGAGGGTAGGCAGAAACAGGGTGTGAAGACTCCCCCTGAGCATATGAGTTCAGATGGATGCTGTAGCAAACACCAGACACAGGGGGAGGCAATGGGCACAAAGTGGTATGCTGACAACAAGAGTTTTACAAAAGCTTCTTTAGAGAGGGGAGAGCCCAAGGTCAGGGAAACTAAGTCAGAAGACCCTTAGAGCAATCTGTGCAAGAGATGATGAAGAATTAAGTCTAATAATGATGATAGTTATGGTGCCTTTAATTGTGCAGTTCTTTAGGGTCTAAATAGCACTATCATATTAGCATTGCATAGTGAAAGAGCATTGGCTTTGCTTTCACATACATGGACAGACAGTAAAGCTTTGCAGTTTCTTAGCACATACCTCCACTCCTATCCTAGTTTCTCCCTTATCCTCTACCCTGCCTCATTTATTACTGCCAGACATGTACATTTTTTTGTTGCTCATTTATTGTCTGTCTCATGTCCCTGGAGTACAAACTTCAAGACAGCAGGGACTTTGTTTTGTTCTCTGCTGTATGCCCAGCAATGGAAAAGTACCAGATACACAGCCCTCAGTAAGCATTTGTTGGATTAAAAAAAAGCAACAACAAATCACAAACTTCTAATAGGCAAGCATGGTAAATCACCATTTTATCAATAATGTTGAGGCCCAGAGAAGCTAAGTGACTTGTCTGAGTCACTGTGGTATTTTGACTTCTGGCCCAGTGCAGAGGTATTGGAAATGAGCACAAAGAGGAGTCTAAGTGAAATTTTGGGAGGAAATCAAAAGACCTTAGCAAACAAAGTGACTGGCCAGCTATGAAGGTTGAAGGATTATTCAGAAGGCTTGAAGCTATTTGCTGGGAGAATGGTGGCGCCCATGAGAGGAGCCAGGAAGGCTGGACGGTGAAGTGAAAACATGGGAAGATTCATGGAGAAAGAAGTTTATTTCCCAAATAAGTTTATTTCCCAAACTTAACTGACTTATGAATGTTTTAATTTGTCACAAGATGAAATGCAGTAAATATATCCAGATATTTTTGAAGAAAGAACAGTGTCAACCATAGCATGTGTTTATCTTATAGCAGGTTGCCTCTAAAAATCATACTTCTTAAATAGGAATACTCAAATTGCATACTGTGTGTGTGTGCGTGTGTGGTTTTTTCCTACTGCAGCTGGGTTGCATATGATGGAGAAAATTTCTCTGGTAATCAGTACGTGTTGGAGGAAGGCCACTATCCTTGTCTGTCCGCAATGGGATGCCTGCCTGGAACAACTTTCAAGTCTCTTCGTTTTATAGATGTTGTAAGTATGTCAGTGTGAATATAGTGTTATAGGAATATATGATTTACACAGCTGACGGTCAGGGCAAGGAAACAAGGAGGTAGAACTTACTCAGCGCTTAAAGTCAGAGGCAGAAAAACAGTTGCAGTAGAGCTTCCCAGTCCTGTAACTTTTTGATCTCTTTTTAGATCTTTAACATTTAAATTGTTTTTATTTGCTGTTTTCTTGGACTTCAGGTGTAGGGCATTGAGTTAGTCATTCATGGCCTACAGTCATCAGGCGTTAGTTCAAGGTTCCCTCCTGCCTTGTTTTTTCTACTTCATACCTGATACCAGTTGCCGTTCCTTTCCCCTTTATAGGTACCCATTTTAATGAGTTTGGCATACAGCTTGGATATTGTTGTAAAATGTATGTTTTTTAAAAATCTGTATGTTGGCTTTTGACTCATGTAAACATTATGCTATAGTTCTTATTGTGTTATGAGCATAACTCAATGCTTGCATTAACAATTTTTGAGAGCTGTCCATTTGGCCGTATGTACACCTAGTTTGATTCTAAATGATACAGGTATTCTGCCTCCCTATTTTACTTATTTAATCCTCATATGCATGTCCCTATGGACCCAGGTGGGAGTCTCTTGGGGCTATATATTACAGAGTGGAATTGCTGGATTTCGTATGTAGGAACAGGCAGTTTCACTTGGTACTACCAAATCCCACCACCTTAGACTTACTTCCACTGGCAGTGGCTACAGGTTCCTGCTTCCCACAGTATTGCTATTACTGAGTTGAGTATTCCCTCTTTCTAATTTTTGTCAATTTGATAAATGAGTAAGAAAGTATTATCTCACTGTTGGGTTAATTTGTATTCCACTATTAGTGAAGTTGGTCTCTCATATACTTATTTATCATTTGGGTTTTCTGTTCAGTGAATTACCTATTTATATCCTTTTTAATTCAGATTTCTGTATCTTTTGTTGTTGTTAATGATTTGCAGAAATTCCTCATGGGTTTTTAATCTATTGTTAATCTGTTGTTTTAGAGTTTTGCAATCAAATAACTTCTCCCAGTTTATCACCTACCTATGTGCTAATCCAGATTACAGTGCCCCCTTTTGGAAAGACGTCTCTCAGTTTGATGTAGTCAAAGCAACAGTCAATAGAACAAAACTTCAAGATAACGTTCAGCTATTAAAGTCTGGGTGTGTCTGTAGTTTTGGAAATTTTTATTAGGTTTTGGTGGCAGATCTTTCTTAAAAAGCTTTAAACATATGTAGTTGGTGATTTTGGTTTTAAAGGTAGGAAGAACATATGTTAGTTGGGTTTATCTCATCCCTGCCTGCATGTTTAAATAACTAAAATGCTACTGAGACATGAAAATAGTAGCAGTGAAACATGGAATGATGTGGTAAGATTCATTAGCTTACAAGTAATGAAATAAGACTCTTTGAGAGTTTACCTGGCTAGTATTCTAAAAGCTACCTATGTATATATTTGAAGCTTTCAAATGCCCTTCCTCAACCAGAGCTTGGCATATATACGCTCACATCATTTTGATACTTACAATGTCCTTTTATGGTTTATTTATGAGGAAATGAACATTTACCAATATTAAGACTGTACATCTTTAATTCTGACTTAATACATAACAATTACTTGATTTTTGACACTAAACTTGAGTGTTTAGAACATTTCTGGCATGCTATTTCAAAGAAAATTGCAGTGAAATTGTAAAGTAGTAAATGCTACTACAATTTTGTGTTGATTCCTCCATGGATGTTTTATATAACTAATTCCTAGACCAAAACATCTCTACACACTAATCTGCTCTGTTCATTGATGGACAAAATCTTTTCTACATGTCAGGGCAAATCCACAAAAATGAAGCAGTGAGGCACCACACCCTTGCCACAAAGCTTTAAGCAGGTAGGGAAATTATGAACCCCACATGCTTTTTTTGATGTATCATTTATGATCTTAAGAGTATTATTATTAGAGAACTTCATGTAGGGTCATAAGGTCTGTAACATGAAAAAACAAACATAAGCTGCCAGCTTTTCATTTTGCTGAAAATCAGTGAACTTTTTAAAAGTGCTGTTGTCCCCTTTAAAGTGATTGAGTTTGAACATAGGGCTTCCATCCTGTTTTTTTCTTCCTCCTCTTCCGACAATGATTCCTACAGGAAAGTTTGGGAGCATGAGTACACAGATTTGTTGTCTTATTGACAATTAAAACAGGAAGAAAAAGACATTTGTACATATAAGGGGAAGGTTCCTTGATGAGGCAATGCTGTTGTACCACTAGGCCACTAGACAGCAGACTGCCACAGCCCTATGATCCTCGTCATTTATGTCCATGGCTTTCCAGTCCCTCCTTGTCCCAATGAAAGTGGCTAAGTCGAAAATAAATTCCATCACAAGTGTTGGTACTCCAGGCATATACCCATTTCTCTGCCTAGGATATTTTCTCCTTTACAACACTATATTTACCTACCTTTTTATGCAATGGAAAAACTTCCTGCCCCTCTATCCTTCCTCTTTTTAGCTTTGGAATATATAAACTTCCTGACTTCTGGGAAAGGGAGTTTACAAATAGGCCAAATCTGGAAGATCTTGTGCTATGTCCTCGTAACAAGATGATTTTTACATAAGTTCAAGTTATTAAAGATGAAGGGCTGGCTGGCTTCAGTTGGTTAGAGGGTATGGTGTTGATAACACAAAGGTCAAGGGTTTGGATCCCCATACTAGCCAGCCACCAAAAAAAAAAAAAAAAACCCCACAAAAAATGAATAACAGAACATTTGCTCTTAAACAGGAATTTTCTGAACCAACAATTATTCTTTTTGAAAGAGAAGACTTCAAAGGAAAAAAAATTGAGCTTAACACAGAAACAGTTAATCTCCGATCCCTGGGATTCAACACACAAATACGCTCTGTTCAGGTTATTGGTGGCATGTGAGTGAGTTACCTACTTGTTGATTTAATAAAACAGATTATTTTTAAAGATTAAATTTAATCAAATCTCTCTCTCCTGCATTACCTTAAACTAATTCACATATAACCCCTTATTTTCTGTAAGGGTTAATCATTATGCACCTTCATAGTATACTTTTCCCATTGGAAAAAGACATGTGTTAAGCATCTTTTGTATCCTTGTCCAGATTTCTAGTTTATTTAAGGTAAGAACTTTGTATCACTTCTCAGAGTCCCTAGGGAAATGCTTTGCACACAAATGCTCAGTACATTTACTGAGCACTCTTTTCCAACAAGTAAGAAAGAATGAGCTGATTTTTCTTATCCCTTTGAAAAACCAAATCCTTTGATTTTGGAGCTGTATGTCATGATTTTCCTTGAGCGAGGAATCACCAGCATATGCTGTGCAAATGATTAACAGGCAACTTAGGAAGATTTTTTTTTTCAACTTTGAATAATTTTGAAATTAAGATAAAAATGAATAAGTACCATCAATGTGATTTTTTTTTACAGAAACAATATGTATGGTCTACCTGTATGCATCACATGTTGCGGGGGACTATGGCCATTTAAAAAATAATTATGGAATATTACGGTGGTAGAAATATGGGTGATTTTTTTCCAACGGGTTTTAATGAATATTTTTTTTATAAGATGGCTAAAATGATAACATTTTAGAGTTCCAGGATTAAAAGTAGAGAACATTCTTCCTTGATGTAATATATCAGCAGGAGAGGAGGGTTGCTGGGTTACTTATGTGCCAGTCTGTGCTGGAACCCATAATTCCTCAGGTGGGCAGACCAGCACCTCTGGCTAGAAGGGACCTACTTGAATATCTTGACCAGTTTTCTGGATTTGAGGAAGATTACTCTTGTTTTAAACAAACATTTATTAATTTTTGGCATAAATACTGATGTACCAAAAATTTGCTATTTGGCAAGAAATGGCTGCTTTAAGTGTTCTAGAAAATAAGACAATTTCATTTTTTTCCCAATGTATATTTAAAATATAAAGTTCAGTCTAGAAATTGAAATCATCCTACAAATAAATGTAATTAGGGTCCGTTGTCAAATGGAAATTGCCACTTACTGTGGCTACTACTTTTTTTGTTTTCAGATGGGTTACTTATGAATATGGCAATTACAGAGGTCGGCAGTTCCTACTGTCACCAGCAGAAGTATCTAATTGGTATGAATTCAGTGGCTGTCACCAAATAGGTTCTCTACGACCTTTTGTTCAGGTATTTTTTTCTTATTCATGCTGTGAGTAGACTCTTCTCTGAAATTTCTTTTTCGTAAGTGCAATTCAACTTTTTAGTTTCAATTTAAGGTTTGAAATTGGCCTTGCCCCTGCTCCCAAGTCCCCCAGAATTTGGGCTGTTTCTGGTGCTAAAAAGTGTGGCTGCTTCAGAAATGCTATCAAGCCCAGCATCAAACACGGTGTGTCCCAAACCCTGGGTTGTTCACAGGCGGACTCCCTGCCCCAGGCACTTTGAAATTTTGTCAAACTCTTCTCGTTGAGAAAATCCTAAAATGTCCGAGATTCTTGGGTGTAGTCATTATCCCTAATCCTTACCTCACTTTGGATCTTCCTGATATTTATGCTTGTTCAGTGCTTCTAACAGTGTAAATTGTACATAACTGTTGCTGGGGTTTTTGTCTTCTAGAAGCGAATTTATTTCAGACTTCGAAACAAAGCAACAGGGTTATTCATGTCAACCAATGGGAACTTAGAGGATTTGAAACTTCTTAGAATACAGGTCATGGAGGATGTTGGTGCTGATGATCAGATCTGGATTTATCAGGAAGGATGCATCAAATGCAGGGTGAGTTTTTAGGATTTTAGAAGGGGGTCTGTAATACCTTTGCTAGAATGCTACTCATCCTTTAATATGCTTTTGAGCTTTCTTCAAGTAGATGCTGTTTCATACTTCCTGGGGCATTTTCAAAAATAAATTTGAAGTTTTTTTCATTAAAATGTTTCCTATCTCTGATAGAACCAGTCTAGGAACTTAAAATGGGAGGTTCTATCTCCGGTCCAAGATAGAGTACTTATAATAAAAAAAGAAGTGTTTCCCCATTTGTATAATCTACTTGTTATAGAAACAAACTGTTAAGCCCCAGCACTATCAGCAGAAATCACTCTTGGTTTGTTCACATTTGGAGAACTCCACAGAATAGAATGCAGGGGAAGAGATGCCTCGTGTGTACAACACAGTCCATTTCCTAATTGTCCCACGTTGCAGAGTGGAAAATGGCCCACCTCCCTCTCGCATCACTCCTGCCATAACAGACATTTAAAAGCTGAATGTAGCAAGGTTTTATGAGAGAAGCTCACACTTCTATTGTAGGTTTCTTTTCTACTCCTTGATTTTATTGGCTTTGCTGTTTGATCCTTTTTAAAAAAACACTCAGTGCTCCATGAGTCAGCAGAGGGCAGACAGCTTTGTGAAAAGGAGCACAACTTGTTCACGAGGTCTGTTGTGCTTGAGGGAGAATCATGCTTTCCGTAAACATAAGTACTGCTGAGACATGCATAGAAGAAATAGCATGAGAAACAGAAGTAGCTGTAATACAGAAGCATGGAAGGAAGTCAGCTTCTGCCTCTAAATTATCTTAAAACAATTCAAGAAAATGGTGCCTTTCAGCAATGATTTCTAAGATTTCAATGATGTTATTTAACAACTTTGAATTCGGTAAGTCAGTGAGAAAAAGTATATTTTCATAGATTATCACAATGCTTTTGTCTCAATATAGAATAGTGCGCTTTTAATTTGTTATAGCAGTATGTGTTAATGGCACATGAACATGTGATTACCGGACCTCGTTTATAAATTAAGGGTAGATTCACTTCAGGGAAGAGCTTAGAAAATCTTTACATTAAAACGCCCTCTAGTGAGTTTGTCTGTTTAGAAAATTTTAGACATTTCTGGTAAAGGAAAGACAAGAGAAGCTAATAAACACAATTTCAAGTTTTAAAATGATAACATGCCCTTTAGCCACTCCAGTGCTACAAAATTAGAGGTGCAGTCATATACTGGACAGTCAGGCCAAGCAGAAGTGGACATGTCGGGGTAGATTTAGTTATAGTCCCAGCCTCAGATCACAGTCACTTGACAGGGAAAAATATCATGATGGGCAGTTTTAATGTTCTGAGGTTTTCCTTACTGAAAGTCTTGCAAAGGGCAGAAATCTCTTATGGATAAGAATTGAGAACTTCCCATCACTCGGGTCATCTGAAATAAAGGACAAATATTTGTTGTGTGATTCTAGTTACTCTGGTAAAAGCTGAAATGCTTCATGAGGGGTAAATGAAGATAGGAACTAAGATAATTTAAAAAGTCAACTTAACCAGGGAAATAATTGCTATGAGACTTAAATATGTACCCATCTATAAGATACCTTGTCTTTTTTTACTAAGCAGATAGCAGAAGACTGCTGCCTGACAATTGTGGGAAGCCTAGTAACATCTGGCTCTAAACTAGGCCTGGCTCTTGACCAGAATGTGGACAGTCAGTTCTGGAGCATGAAGTCGGATGGCAGGATCTATAGCAAGTTGAAGCCAAATTTAGTTTTAGATATCAAAGGTAAGGACCATTTCCTTTATTTTCTTTATTGTAATGTGTCTTTCTTTAAAGAAAAAATCTATTATTAACTTTTGAAAATGAGTGTATTATTAATAATAGTAAGATAGCCCCTACTATGTGCCAGCCACTGTGCTAAAAACACTTTACATACATTATTTCGTGATCTTCACAGCATCCCTAAGAGATCTGTGTCATCCCTACCTCCTTCTCCTCTCCTAATTTTACAGCCAAAAAACTGAGGCTGAGAGGGGTTAATCAGTTTGGCCACAATTTCACTCCTGTAAGTGGTGAGCTGGAATCTGGACATCAGCTGACTTCAAACCATTTGTTTTATTATAACAGTGTTAGACTAAAAATCACAACCTAGGGCAGGCCCGGTGGCGCACTGGAGAGTGCGCTGCTTGGGAGCGCGGCGGCGCTTCCGCGGAGGGTTTGGATTCTATGTGGAGACTGGTTCCCACTCACTGGCTGAGCGCGGTGTGGGCGCAACACCGAGGGTTGCGATCCCGTTGCCAGTCCCCGGTACGGGCGCGACACCGAGGGTTGCGATCCCATTACCGGTCAGTAAAAA